TCTCTCTCTCTCTCTCTCTCTCTCTCTCTCTCTCTCTCTCTCTCTCTCTCTCTCTCTCTCTCTCTCTCTCTCTCTCTCTCTCTCTCTCTCTCTCTCTCTCTCTCTCTCTCTCTCTCTCTCTCTGTCTGTCTCTGTCTGTCTCTCTTTCTCTCCCTTTCTCGTATTTGTTCGTGCATCAACAACCGAGGCAGCAGCGATAAAAATCCTTAAAACGCATCACGACTGTGGGCAATCCTTGTGGTGCTGCATCGCGCACTGCAGGCCCTTAGCGCTTTAATTGCTGAAAGGAAGCAAGCGTCTGCGCTTGCTGCTGAAGCAGTTTCTGTAGCAGCGCTTGTTTCTGCGTCTGCCGATTCGGCGAAAAAAGATGCGGCAGCTCCAACTGCCACAGTTCCCACAGCAGCGGGAGCAGCAGCAACTGCTGCCCACTCTACGCTTCTTGCCGCAGAGAAGGCCAGAGGCGTTTTTACAGCTTCGTCGCGCTCTCCTACTGGCGCGTGTGGAGATGTAGGAGCAGAAGAGCATACGCATTCGAGGAGTGCACTCGCACCAGCACCCCCAGCACAAGCGACAGCTGGCACTGGGGAGGAGGCTTCTGCTGCAGACAGCGTATCTCCTTCGGAGGTGTCTCCCAGCAAGCCAAGCATCCAGCAAGTGCCGCGAACGGATGGCGCTTGCAGAAAGGAGGGGGGGAAAAGCGCAGCGCAGCAGACACTTCCCGAAGAGCAGTGCGAAGGTTTGCAGCAGCAAGTGCGCCTCAAAAACAAGCCGCTCAAAAGGAAGGAGACGCTGCTGCTGAGGCGTCCACAAGAGGCTCTCAGCAGCAACAGCTACTCATTTGAAGCTGCAGGAGGAGCAGTCGAAGCGGCAGCCGCTTTTCAACAACAAGAGCAACAGCAACAAGAGCAGCAACAAGAGCAGCAGCATCAGATGAGCGGCTGCTCAGAGATTCCATCTGATGCAGCTGCAGCAGCAGCAGCGGCGGCAGAGGCGTGCCCTTTTCTTTCTGCTACTTCCGGCGTGCCAACTCGAAGCCTCTTGGTTCCTCTCGAAACTGTCGTCTCTCTGCAGGCAGTGTCGAAGATGCAGCAGCAAGACAAGCTGCTCCTCCCTCTAGCCTCTCCGACGCATGCCCTGCTGCCGCCTCAGCGCTCGGCTTCAGCTGAAGGAGATCTCGCTCTCTGGACGTGTAAAAAGGGGAGCAGCATGCGCAGAACGCATCTCAAGCAGCGGCAGAAGCGCAGCTGCGTGAGGCGCAGTGCCTCATCCCCCTTCAACTTCACCCCCTTTCCTCTGAGCACGCGTCTGCTCAAGCCCTCGCGTTCTCCATCGCCTTCCCACAGCTGCACTGGCAGCAGCAGCTGCCGCAGCAGCAGCCGCTCGGTGGGGGAAGACACAGAGACTTCGCTGACTGCAACTGCAGCAGCTGCACAAGTGGCTCACGAGTCGGCAAGCTGGAACCTCTCGCCTCGTGCTCCGTACGAGCATTCCAGGGAGCAGCAGCAGCAAGAAAAAGAGCAGCAAGAAAAAGCGCAGCAAGAAAAAGCGCAGCAAGAAAAAGAGCAGCAAGAAAAAGCGCAGCAAGAAAAAGAGCAGCAAGAAAAAGAGCAGCAAGAGCAAGAGCAAGAGCAAGAGCAAGAAAAAGCGCAGCAAGAGCAACGGACGAAGGCACTTATGACGCCATCTGATGAGACTCTTGCCAGCTTCTCTGCGACAGTCGATACAAAAGCAAGAAGAGCAGTGCAGTCTGTAGGGATGTTGCAGCAGTTTGGGGGGGAAGAAGCAGCCGCCGAAGGACTGAAAAGCGTTGGAGTCAGCTCTGAGGAGCTCAGCCAGCAGGTGTCTGCACCAGGCAGAGCTTCTTTGAGCGTCTGCACGTATGCCAGCAGCACCAGCGACAGGAGTAGTCTCTCCAGCAGTGTGCCTTTCAGCCCTCGAAACAATTTTAACTTCTCAAGCGCAAGGCAGCAGCCACATCAGCTGCTGCCACTGCTCTCGCTCGAAGACGAGAACCTCTTAGAGGGCAGCATAGCCTACGAGGCTGCAAGACAGACGCTGAAGGTGAGGTGCTGCTGCTGCCTTAGTGCTGATGCTGCTGCCTTAGTACTGATGCTGCTGCCTTAGTACTGATGCTGCTGCCTTAGTACTGATGCTGCTGCCTTAGTGCTGCTGCTGCTGCCTCAGTGCTGATGCTGCTGCCTTAGTACTGATGCTGCTGCCTTAGTGCTGCTGCTGCTGCCTTAGTGCTGATGCTGCTGCCTTAGTACTGATGCTGCTGCCTTAGTACTGATACTGCTGCCTTAGTGCTGCTATGGCGGATCTTGCTGCTCCGTCTGTACACGGAGACGAATTTAATGAATTCCTTGCTGCTTTGCCTCTTCGTCCATGCGCATGCTGTGTCTCAGCGGGCAGCAGCAGCTGCTTGCTGCGAGGGAGTTTCTTCGCCTGCAGCGGTAACGGATGCAGCCGCTGAAGCTCTGCTGCAGCACATGCAGCAGCAGCTGCTGCAGCATCATTGCCGCTTGCGGCGTTTGACTCCCCACGGCTCAGGTGTCTTGGATCCGCTCACCAGCCCCCAAAGCAACGCTTCCTCTGAGGTGTCTGTACACCGCAGCGGCAGCAGCGACGGGAAGCACGATCCCCTGCTTTCGCAGCTGCGGCAGGCTCTGGAGGAAGCAGCCGAAACGTGCTCTCGGTTGCTTCCTTCTCCACAGGAGAATGAGGCGCAAAAGCAGCAGCAGCAGCAGCACGAGGTGAACCCCCTGAGTCTATCAGAGTGCGCGGGGAGACGACGCGCCGAGACGTCGGCAGCAGCAGCAGCAGAGGCGCTGCTGCTGCAGCGCAACAAGATCTGTGAGCTGCAGCAGAGACTGGCTCTTCTCACTGCGTCTATGGAAACAAGTCCTTTACAGCTCGCTACAGCAGCAGCAAGAACCACTCCCGCGGCTGCAAGCGCTGCACCCTGTGCAGCAGTAGCAGCAGCTGTCTCTGCTGCAGGGCAGATACCAGACTCACCACTGACAGGCACAACAAAGCCTGCTCCGAGAGCAGTGGTGTCTCTTGCAGACTGCATGCGGTCTCTTACGCTGCAGCAGGAGTCTTTGGAGAGGCTTCGCGACAGCGCCTTTCCAGCCACGGAGAGAGCAGCAGCAGCAGCAGCAAATGCTGCTGCTTCATCTGCTCCTGCAGCAGACACTGGCGAGCCGCTGCAGGGAGCACACGATCCTGAACAGTTACCGCTGAACTCGGAGCTGCCGCAGCTGCGAATCCAGCGAGTCGATAAATCCAGCGATGTCGATTCTTTACTGGCAGAAGTGCTGCAGGGTAGCGACCACGCGCCGCATGCATGCAGCCCACTGCTGTCTGAACTCGATTCTATGCCAGGAGCAACGCCTTCTGACTGCGCAACGCTAGCAGTCGCAACTACCAACACAATCGCCACACCAACTGCTGCTTTCGACTGCCCTGTTCTACCCTCCACCTCAGAAAGCCTCTCCCCCAGAGATTTTCAGCCTCAGCACCGACAAGAGCACCAGCACCAACAAGAGCACCAGCACCAACAAGAGCACCAGCACCAACAAGAGCACCAGCACCAACAAGAGCACCAGCACCAACAAGAGCACCAGCACCAACAACAAAAGCAACACCAACAAGAGCACCAGCACCAACAAGAGCACCAGCACCAACAAGAGCACCAGCAGCACCAACAAGAGCAGCAGCACCAACAAAAGCAGCACCAACAAAAGCAGCATTCGCCACGCATAAATACAGCAGCAAGCTGCCGCTGTGGGCGTGAGATGTTAGTGGAGCCACAAGGGCAGCAACCTCCGTGGCGTGGATACCCCTCCAGCAGCGTTAGCAGCAACAAGATCGGTTTTTTGTTTCCTTCGCGGCGAGAGACTACTCAGGGGAATCTTCTTCTTGCAGAGGAGCTGTCTGTCTCTCAAGGCGAGACTCCGAAGGCAGCGCAAATGGAGGCTGCCGCTTTTGAAGCGGAAGCTCTCCAGCACAGCTCAATAGGCGACAGCGTGTCACGTCAGGAGCAGCAACAACAACAGCCACTGCGAGAACAAGTGTATTACTTTCCGCAGCAGCAGCAACAACTGCAACAACAACTGCACCACCAAAAGCAACAACAACAACTGCAACAACAACACCTGCAGTTCGTGAGCTCGGCGCAGAAGGAAGTGTGGCGCATGCAGCACCAGCATCTGGTGCAACAGCAGAAGCTGCTGCTGCAAGACAGTCCATGGCAGTGTAACCCGTGGATATCTTCTCCTGCCTGGAAGGGTCCAAGTCAGCAGCAGCAGCACCCGCAAGTTCAGCAGCAGCAGCAGCAAGTTCAGCAGCATCACCAAGAGCAGCAGCAGCAGCTGCTACTTCTGTCGCCGCCGCTGCTTCATAGGCCTTACCAAGCCTGCGGAAGCGAGCAGCACAAGCCCAAGCGGAGAGGCTGTGCAGCTGATTCGAATTACCGGCAGCACAGCAGCAGCAGCTGCTGCATGAGCAGCAGCAGCAGCAGCTCGGGAGCCTCTCTACCAGCCTTCAATGCACTGTCCTTTAGCGTACCCCCCCTGCATTCGGCTGTAGCGACACCCTGCAGCACGCTATCCTCTCCCGCCTCCTCGCGAGCCGTGAGCACCGATACACAGCAGCAGCAACAGCAGCAAGTGCTGCTGCTTCAGCAGCAGCTGAGGAGGCAGCTGGCGAGCCGCTCTGCTTCTCTACCAGCCCTTCCAAGGGTCCGTGAGTGGTTCTTAGGCTCGCGGCAGCCTCATCCCTTGCTCTCCGGAGGAGCAGCGGCTGCTGCATCGCCCTCGCAGCGTCTGGAGGAGCAGCAGCATCCGCTATCGCATGCATGCAGAGGCATGCAACGGCTGCGCTCCTTGCCAGTCATCAGCAGCAGCGATTCCGAGCAGAAGAAGAGGCCAGCGGCGGCTGCTGCTGCTGCAACAGCAGTGAAGGATACGCAGCCAGCGCAGTATCTGCCGAGAAAAGTCTCTGCAAGACACTCGCCTGCACCGCTGTTAGCGCCCAAAGGCGCAGCCGTCGCTGCCTCCTGGCTATTGAGTCCATCCTAAGACACGAATAGGTGGCAAATAGCATCCCCCCTTCCCTCCACTTCTTTCTTGGCGCATGCAACCAGCCTCGTGTCTGCAACGCCTCCCTTCCCTCGCCAGCTTGATACGCGACGCGCGTCAATAATCCTCTACGATGGGCAGGAGGGTGACATCTAAGGGATGTGTTTTCTTCCCTCTTTACCTTGGAATTTGGCATCTGTACTTTGTAGCCACACACTACGCTTTCCGCAACGCCTCGTGCCTGTGGATCGTGGTGCTGCTACCACAACAGCCTTACACTCCGCTTCCCACGATCGTGTGTAGCTGCCCACCCTTCCTGCATACTCCAGTCCATTGCTTGACCTCCCACCACGGCTTTTTGCACTTTTTTCGTCTCAATCCATATCGAGTTGCATTGCACATGCGGAGATACATAGATACGCAAACGCCACCTGCATCCAGGTGTTTAAAAAACACATAACTCCATACCCCCCCATTCACCCTCCTAACTCCATACCCCCCCATTCACCTTCCTAACTCCATACCCACCCATTCACCCTCCTAACTCCATACCCACCCATTCACCCTCCTAACTCCATACCCCCCCATTCACCTTCCTAACTCCATACCCACCCATTCACCTTCCTAACTCCATACCCACCCGTTCACCTTCCTAACTACCTACCCGCCCACCTTGTTGCCTACCTATCCAATGGGGAGCCTCTTGCCTCCTTTTGGCATTGACGCCAGTTGCGGCAGCTGCTCTCACTGCCCTCTCCCCTTCCCTTCCCTCTTTCCTTGCCTGCCTGCCCCTAGGCAGTGTGTGTAAACATGGGCAATCCAGATAGAGACAGTCTCTGTACTCCTGTCTTCTTCGAAAAGTGGCACGCGTTTGCGCGCACCCGAAGGAGAACCAACCTCTCCACAAAGGACCAACGCAAAAACGGCATTCTCCAGAGGAGGGAAGGGGCCTGTAGTGTCGTGTCGTGTCGCGTAGTGTAGTGTAGTGTTGTGTACTGTTGTGGGAAGACGCATTCCCCTTCTTATTTTTACAAGGCCGACATGAGTGTCTCCTGGATAGACGCTGCTAAGCGGGAGCCGCAAGGGAAGCGTCTCTCATTTTCTCGTTCGCGTGTGATGCGAAGTGCATTTCATATACCTCCTAAAGACAATGCTGCTTGCATGCGCCTTACTATATATGTGCGCTCGCGAGGGCCCTTGTCTGATCCATCACAACAAGAACGAAAATGCATTATCTGCTTCTTTGACTCTCGCTTCGCTGAGCGCGTATCCAGTTCGAAACGTCGATCGAGCAACAAGAGCACCCCCGCCTACACACCAGCCTGGGTGTGGTGGCTGCTGCTGCTTCTCCCCCTCCCTCCCCCTGAATGCCAGAGAGGCTTCTGCCTGCTCTAAAGAGCTCTACTGCGTGAAAACAAACCTGAAAAAGAGGGTGCGCATCAGTGCACCCCACATACAGGGGGAAAGGGGGAGTATCCAAGGAAGTTCAGGCTAGTGCCCACGCAGCACTGTAAACCAAAGTCGCGCCTCGGAAGACATGCGTGCATGCCTGGCTTGGGTAGGGAACGAAGGCAGCATGAAGTGCACGCCGGTAGATGCATGCGCGCATGGTTTATGTGCGCCTTCTTGGGTGCATGCAACGTGGGTAAACATGCATGCACGCATGGATTCTGGTCGCAGGCAGAAGCGGATAATAGTTTCTTCTCCTCCCTTTCCCCGTGTCGAGGTGAACCCGACTCCTCTGCGCACCCAAATAGTGCTCGTCGTCCACTACTAAATCCTAATATTCTGCTGTGTGGGGTAAGAGGACTGCGTTTCTTTCCTGATTCGCCTTGCATCCAAATACACCTCTACGCGGGTGTGCAGTATACGTATATATATGTATAATATATATGTAATAGGTATAAGGTGTCCACACGCCTGTGTGCAAGCATTGCGGTGCATGCACCGATAGGAAGGCGTGCCTAGACTTGGCTAGGCACGCGCGAGCACCTCGCAATACGCAGAAAAATCCCTCTATACGAAGCTACTACCGCTACTACTATGCCATCGCTGCCGACGGGCCGCTTGGCACCCAAAGAAATCCTAGTAAATATTCATGCACCGAGCAAGAAACGCATATGTGCGTGTTTTTTTCGCATGCGGAGAGAGAGCGAGAGGCAGGGTGTGCATGCGCGCGAAAGAGAGAGAGAGATCGAGATATATATGGAGAGAGATATATATATAGAGAGAAAGCACTCAAGCGTGTGCACCTACGATGCGTGAGCATACACCCCCACCCCGTTTCAGATCACACCGTGCTTTGTTTGCATGCCTCTACCCCGCCTAAATGCATGCAGCAGTTTCGCATTGGCTGGCAGCAGGCCGTTCCTTTGCGTGTGTCGGGTGTTGCATGCATGCATGCATGCATGCATGCCTGCCTGCTTGCTCTGTAGTTCCCCATCCATCCCTCCCCCGTCCTGCTGACTGCAGCAGCCGCATGCAGGAAAAGTGGACGTGCAGTGTCAGAGCAAGCGGAAGGAAAGCTCTTCGGCGCCAAGGAGGGAGTTCGTGCGCAGAGACACCCAGCGCATGCAGCCGCGAAGGCTGCTGCGACGGGGAAGAGCAACAGACCATGCATGCAGACATGGCAGCCCCCTCTTAGGCAGCAGCTGGAATCTCGTCTCCGGTGTCTTCAGCGGTGCGTTCACTCGCTTGCGATGCGCCTGGAGCCGTCATGTCTGCCGTCACTTGCTGCAGTTTCTCGACATGTTGAATGGGAGTGGTGAAGGTCGTTGAAGCCGCCTCTGCGGTGACAGCCGCTGTCGCCAGATCACAGCCAGGAGTCGCAAGCTCTTCGCCCTGCTGCTGCTGCTGCTGCTGCTGCTGCTGCCTCTCCTCCTGCGCCTCTGGTTGTAGCTGGGATCGCTGCTGCAAGGCATCCCCAAAGAGGCACTTGGATCGCGAAGAGGGGCCGTCCTGTGCATGCAAGTCGGAGACTGCTGCTGAAGCGCCACTTCCGGAGGCTCCTTCGAGCAAACCGTTGTTTGCAGGAGGCGACTGCCCGTGGGAGACAGCCACGGAGGTTGCAGGAGAGGCAGTTGCCGCCTTGGCTATTGCGGAAGGGGGGGGAGCGAGGCGCGCCTCGTCGCACTCCGCTGCGCGTGCTGCTAACGACTGCTGCAGCGCAGGGGGCCCTTGCTGCTGGTCGCCACGAGCAGCAGCAGCAGCAGCAGCAGCTGCAGCAGCAGTGGCTGCTGTCGCGAGGGGGAGGGGGCTGTGGGGAGCCGCTGCTGCTGCTGCGTCTAGAGGAAGTACGCCAGAGATTCCAAAAGCAGAGGCTCCAGGAGACACGCCGACGAGGCTCTGACTGAAAGGCAGCAATCCTGCAGCCATGTGCTGCTGTTGCAAGCCTGCTCCGCCCCCCCCGAGCGCTGAGGCAGCAGCTGCAGCCGCTGCAGCTGCTGCGAGATCGCCCTGCTGCTGCTGCTGTTCGTGCGCTGTACCAGGGGGCCCCAATCCAGCGGCAGCAGCAGCTGCTGCTGCTGCAGCTGCACTGTCTTGCGCATGCGCAGCAGCGGCACTGCCCTCCAACGTCTGCTGCTGCTGCTGCAGCTGCAGCGCTTCAAAGTTTGGCCTTTGAACGAGCAGCACTTTGATGATCCGCATGAGCTGCGCGTGGGGGAGCTGCTGCAGCAGCTGCTTCTTCGCAATCGAGGGATACAGGAGATTCAGGTAGAATACAAGTTCTTTCAAACGCGCGGAGTGGAATACAAACAAGACGTGCGATTCCAAAGCCCCTAAGATTTCGGATAAGAACGAATCCGCAGGCGGCGCCGCCGCTGCCGCCGCTGCCGCTTGAGGCGTTGGGGGGCCCCCCCCCGCCGCTCCGGGGGGCCCCCCGCCCCCCTGGACGGCTGACGCGGAGACACCCGTCGCGCCTCCGAGATAGCTCACACCCAGAGTGCTCAGCGGAGGCTGCTGCTGCGGAATCAAACCTCCCCCCCCGCCAGCTCCAACCGCTGAAGCTGCATCTGCCGGTATAGCCGTTGCGGTAGGTTCCGCTGCAGACGCACTGTTGCTGCTGCTGCCGCTGCTTCCTGCATGCGAGGAGCCTGCTCCTTGCTCTGCTCCTTGCTCTGCTCCCGCCGGCAGTGGTGGGGTCGTTGTTGCTGGTGTCGCTGCGGCGCCAGCGGCAGCGCCACCTCCGCCGATGGCGGGGATGCCTGCCGCCGCGGCAGACAGCGAAGTTTCCAGGAAGTTGCGCAGGGAGAAGAGGAGAAAGATCACGATCTCCTTGTACAGTCCTAAGCTGTCTGCTCCCGGTGCTGCTGCTGCCTGCTGCTGCAGCAAGCCAAGGGGGCCCCCCCCCCCGGGCGGAGCCGCGCCGGGGGGCCCCCCCCCTCCCCCCCCGCCTCCGAAAGCGCCACCGAGACTTGCGGCAGCCGCCACTGCAGCCGCTGCATTCTGCGGATTGCCTGCAGCAGCGGCAAGCTGCGGAGCAGTCATGAGATGCATAAACATGCCACTCCCGTCAGAAGAAGGAGCACCCAGGAAGGCTGGGTTGCCTGCAGGAAGGGGCCCTAAGGCGCCAAAACCATCAACAGGCACGCCAAACTTGTTCACAGACTGCACACACAAACACACACACGTCAAACGGGCGGATGTACACCGGCAGATACACGTGCGGGCAGACATACACAGAGAGAGAGGGAGAGATAGATATGCGATAGCAGACAGACATGCGACAGCAGATAGATGGGCAGGCAGACATACATACACACACACAGATATACATACAGACAGAGAGACAGACTTGCAATGGCAGATTGATATACAATAGCAGATAAATGTGCAAACAGATAGATGCACAATAGCAGATAAATGTGCAGACAGACATACACACACACAGACAGAGAGACAGACAGAGAGACAGACATACAAACAGATATACATACATACAGAGAGATATACATACATACACATATACATATAGACAGAGAGACAGATATACAATAGCAGATAAATATGCAGACAGATATTCAGAGACATACATACACACAATAGCAGAAAAATATGCAGACAGACATACGGACAGACAATAGCACAATAAAGCCAGCATAAAACACGCCCATATGCGGGAAAAACCGCAAACAAACAGAGACACATAGACACATGCATTTACAGATACACACATACACTCCTTAATCCCGCCACACTCCCAGTCAGTAACACAAGAAAGACTGCTCCCGCCTGCGATAATTTTAGAAAAGAAATCTTACGGCGAGCTCGAGAAGTGACGCAAAGGGAGAGGCTCCCGTGAAAAAAGGTGCACCGGATATCGCCTCGCTATTCCTGCAAAAAAAAGAAACACATGCATGCATGCATACATCCATATACACATCCATAAATATACAATCCATAAATATACACATCCACACATATACACATCCACATATCTACACACCCATAAATATGTATATCCGTAAATATATAAATATGCACATCCACACATATACACATCCACATAAACATCCACATCCACATAAACATCCACATCCACATAAACATCCACACCCACATAAACATCCACACCCACATGAATATACACATCCACATGAATATACACATCCAAAAAAATGCAGCCTCCGTGGCGATGATGGATAGATGCTTGCACGCATCTCTCTACCCATGCGTGAGCGAGCTGCGTGTAGGAGCGCTCTGCGCAGCCTTGCATGGCTGTGCTTCACTACGATTCGCCATGCTTTCGCCGCATATCCGTTTCCGAGAGCGCTAAGAGGAGCGTCGTCAGAATGCGAAGTACTAGAGTGTGTCTCTAACGAAGCCGTCCCCTTCTTTCTACCCCTCTCCTTTTGCCGCGTTCCCTCTCCTCCCCCCCCCTTCCTTCCCTCCCAATCAGCAAGCCTCTCCAGAGAAGTGCACTGCTGCTCGGCAGCCTTACTCCGTGCCTAAGCCGTCCACTGGAAAGCCTTGCGGCATGTCAACGGCACCCTGCAGCTTGTGTTGCTGCTGCTGCTGGGCATCTCTATCCTTGCCATCAACGCCAGCCGAAGAAGCTGCTGCCAACGCCTGTTGCTGCTGCTGCAACCTGCCGACGAGAACTGGCGCAGCTGCTCCCGGCTGCTGCTGCTGCTGCTGTCTGTTCGGATTCAAGAGAGAGCCAGCAGCAGCTGCTGCCGCTGCTGCCTCCGCAGCAGCTGGACCGGCTGCTGCTGCAGCGGCGTTGGGGGGAATGCCTCGCGCGCTGCCTGAAGATGCGGCAGCAGCAGCTGCTGCAGCTGCTGCTGCCGCATCTTCAGGCAGCTTCGGAAGCTGCAGTCCAAAGTTGACGCCGCATGCATCTCCCCTGATATACGCATCCAAGAAAGAACCGATCGAGCCGTCCAAATACTCCGTTCCCGCAGCGAGCAGCTGCCCCATGCCGCAGGGGTGGCTTCCCCCCACTGCAGCAGCAGCAGCAGCAGCTGCAGCTGCTGCTGCTGCCGGATCGAGGACTGTCGATACACCTCCCGCCGCACCAGCCGTCCCCGCAGCGGCGCCTCCTCCCCGACCAGGTGTCACCGACGCAGCATTCGCTGCTGCTGCATTCGCCGCTGCTGCGCCTCCTGCTGCTGCAGTGCTCGGGAAGATTGCCTTGCGCTGCCGCTTCAGAGAAACTCCCGCATCCGGAGAAAATTTGCTGCTAGGCGCTCTTCGTCTGCGAAGCTGAGATCTCGAGCCGCCCCCCCGCCGCGAATCCGATCCAGGAAGCCATGAAGCGCTGCCTTCGTCGTCGTCTTCTCCGCCCGCCTCCTCTCCCCCCGCTGCTTCACTGCCGTCTGCCCCCCCCCCTCCAGCAGCTGCAGAACTGGCAGCATTCGTCCCCACACTGCTGCCTTCGACGACTCCTGCGGAGCCTCCGCCTCCAGCTACAGTCCCCTGCCCAACATCTCCGGAGACGCGAGACACCTCCTACGCAAAGAGAGACAGACAGACGGAGAAACTGGTTAGACACAGACAGAGAGAGAGAAAAAACAAAGGGAAAGAGACAGACAGAGAGACAAAGAGACAGACAGACACACAACAATAGAAAGACAGACATGGTGAAAAAAAAACATGCGCAGTCACACCTTTCCTGCGACACAAGACTTCTCAGGCAAAAGGCAAAGTACGCGCAGGATGCTGTACTGAGCACGACCGCCTCCCCACACCCACACACATACACACATATTCCAACATTCACATGCCTATATATATATATCTCGAATACATACATTGATACGTGCACGTACCATGCATATACATACACATACAGAAGATATCGAGTGCATACAGACCCACAAAGAGACACACACACACACACTTCCTGCCATACATACATATATCTACATACACATATATCTACACACATGTGCACGTAATAATTTTACATACATGTGCACATCACAAGCATGCGTATACATACACACACACATATATGGGCACACACATACACATATACATCCATGCATATACACACATACATATATGCACCCACACACTCAGAAACACATACACTGTGTAACACATATACATACATCCATACACATACATGCATATACATACACAAATATCTACATACGTGTGCACATCACATACACACATACACATATACACATACATGCATATACATATACATCCATACACACACATCCATACATATATACACACACATACATATACATCCATATACATATATACACACACATACATATACATCCATACACCTACACATCCATGCATGTATGCACACACACATATATACATAGATACAGCAAAAGATCGACAAAAGTATGCATGCTCTGACCGAGCAAAACGAGCTGCAAGCGAAGACGCGCTGTTGCCAAGCAAGCAACCAAGGGAAAATCTGCACGGAAGAAATGCCAAGGGGTTCGCCTACTCCAGTACGAGGAAGCTCAGACTTCGCGTGGAAATCTGGAGGCAATGTGCGGGAGGCAGGCGTTCTGCGGATGCTGCGATCTCTTAAGCCTAACTGCTGCTCTTGCTGCTGTCTGCACTCTGCGGCAAGCGAAGCATGCAAGCAAGCAGCCGAATGCGAGATATCCGCGCAAGCACACACGGCTCAGACATGCATGTATGCACAAGAAAGCGAGAAAATAAGAAGGAGATACTACCGTGCCCTGTACCGCGCGCGATCGCATGGCGAAACTCCCGATAACCCCCAAGTCATAAAAAATACCTCGCTAGATGCTGCTAGAAACACTCGCAAGGAATATTATCAAACACTAGCAGAAGCAGCAGAAGCAGCAGGAGCAGGAAAAGGAGAAGCAGCAACAAAATACCCCCCCTCCGCCTCGCTTTCCCTCACAGGCAAACAGGTACCTTCAGACATACATGCACTCAACATATGTGTGCATGTACATTTGTAGATTCATGTACAGACATTTTTATTGATATATGCATCTGCACACACGAAGGGGGCTGCTTGCCTGTGGCCAGTCTGTATGCTTGATAGAATCCTAACTTGTTGACAGAGAACTTGCGCTCGACACGACGCTTCGTTTGAGGATCATACCTGTAGATTCGAGCGCAGTATAGCCACCCCGAGGGTGAGGCAGATGGAGATGCCCACGATGCATGCAGCACGCCTTCAGAAGCGAAAGAATCGAGCGGCAGAAAGGCAGAAACTCACCAGCTGGCTCGCCACGTCTTGTTCACCTTGTCAAATCGCACTCCAACGACCTTTGGGAGAGCAGTTCGCTGCTGCTGCTGCTGCTCCAGATCGTGCTGCTGCTGCGGATCAAGCTGCTGCTGCTGCGAATGGGGAGGGGGTGTTAGGAGTGGCTGCGCCTGCGGCAGAAGCAGCCCTTTGACGCCTGCGCCGTAGTCTTGCTGCAGCAGCTGCTGATGGTGCTGCTTCAGCTGCTGCTGCAGCAGCAGTTGCTGCTGCAGCAGCAACGCCGAGGAGACATCTACGCCCCCTGCGACATGGTACATGGATACCATGTCGTGCTGCTGCTGCTCGAGCTGCTGCTGCAGTTGCAGCTGCTGCAGTTGCTGCTGCTGCTCCAGTTGCTGCTGCAGCTGCTGCTGCTGCAGCTGGTGCTCGAGCGGCATCTGTTCTGCTGCAGCTGCAACGTCATGCTGCAGCTGCTGTTGCTGCAGCTGCTGCTGCTGTAGTTGTTGCTGCTGCTGCTGTAGTTGCTGCTGCAGTTGCTGCTGCAGCTGCTGCTGCAACTGCTGTTGCTGCTGCTGCAGCTGTTGCTGTTGCTGCTGCTGCAACTGCTGTTGCTGCTGCTGCTCCACATCCTTGACAGCAGCAGTGCTTTCGCCGAAGGAAGCGGCCTGCTGAACAACGGAGTCTACAGCGGAGGCAGCTGCAGCGGGTGTGGGAGTGGTTGCTGCCACTGCAGGAGGACAGGGTTCAGGTGTACAGCCACCCTCGAGCTGCAGCTGTAGCGAACCATCTGCCCCTGCTGCAGAGGTTCTCGTTCCGTTCCCCTGATGCTGATTTTCGGGAGTTTGACACAGAGGCGTATAGGAGGTTCCCTGGCAACTGCTGTCGCTACGTGGCGTGCGGCTAGCTGCAGCTGCCGCAGGAGCTGCTGCTGCTGCTGCCACAGAGGGCAGCGGCTTCTGTTGTTGTTGCTGCTGCTGCAGCAGCGTTAGTTGTTGCTGCATTGGACTGCTGCACAGTGCAAGTGGCAAGGCAGCGGAGAGGGCGATATATATATATGCATATATACACATACAAATACGAGTGGGCGCTGCTCGAGATGCGGCGGTGCGCAGAGGTGTGCATACACCGGGCAGGGGCGAGAGGTGGCTTGCCCGTTCGCGCGCGAGAGAACATGAATACCGATGTAAGAGCCGCAGAGAGGGATCAGAAGACGAGACGGAGGCTTGGGAGTGGCTAAAAGGGCAAATAGGAGCAAGGTTGCGGCTATCGAAGGGGGAGGGGATATGACGCCTTACTTGGTGCTCCTGCAGCCCAACCGCTTCTTTGAATCTACTTGTGTTAGCCACCGCCGCTGCTTTCCGCTTTAATGGTGGTCTGCCTCACGAAGACACATTCAGGGCAGAACCGCAGCAACAGGCGATTCGAAAAAGCAGCAAGCTGAAAACTCTCCTGCCGCCGCTGCTGGTGCTGCGCTGACACGCAGGTGTCGCTGACAGTTTTGCCGCACCGACTACGGCTTGCTGCGTTGCGTGTTGCTGCTCCCGCCACTGCTTCTGCACCAAAACACTTGGTGCTGCGGCAAAACCCTCTTCAAGTCCAATAGCACTGCGCCGCTGCTGCTAAGAAGCTGCTGCAGCAGCCTTGGGGCTTCTGTACGCCGCAGCGACGGGATGCAAAGAGGAGGGGGGAGAACGCCGCTGCTGCTGCCCGCTACTGCAGCAGGAACAACCGGTTCTGTACGAGGTGCCTGCTGTGGCTTTATTCATTAAGTGCGTCTTGTTTGCTGTTGCCGCGTCAACTGCAACAGCAGCCACTTGGAGGCTGCTGCTGCTGCGCGGGTAGCAGCAGCAAGGGCTGCAGCAGCAGCAGCCGTTGCAGCCTACCTACCTACCTACGCGAGGTGCTGCTCCTCCTGCTTCATGAGTCTACGAGACTTGCTTTCTTTCTGAACTGCTGCCGGTCTCTGCTGCTGAATGCTTTCGCGTCCAAGCACCTTAATAGTGTAATTAGGCCATTTGAAAAATATTAGGGAGAAAAGAACGAGGATCGCCGCCCTCCCCTGCCTGGCCCCCTGTTGGTGCTGTTGCGCGTGTGCTCATCATGCCTAGTGTCGCTGCTGCACCGCGACGATGCAAAAGTAACTACTCAGATGCTTCGCCGTAAGACCTTGCAGCAAACCGTTTTTTCATCCTACGCCTTACTCGTATTACATTTTTGATTTGCGCGATTGGCTCCAAAAAAACATCGAGTCACTTCTGTGTGTGGCTCCCGTAAGGGGTTGTGCACCAGCGTCTACTGCGGGTGAGGTGTGTCGCGAGAGAGAAACCGTCCCTATTATCGAGGTCAGTGCGGGCAAAATATGCCATCAAGCTGCACTCTACATCCATAGCTCAGTATGCTAAATTCTTGCAACATCTAAAGGGCAGCGGCACACAGGAACAGACTATCCTGCAGCCAGATAGAGATGCCGGCCTGGGGCCAGACGCGTGCTGATGAAGAAAGGCACATTTATTTTCAAGATTTATTTGACTAAAAACGTTTTTTAATAGTGTCGCATCGCTTGGCGCCTTTGGCGGGAAAGTTCGCTTCAATAAAAAATCACGTTTCCCGCTGTACACGTGAATGCTGAGGGCTTCTGAGACTTGGCACTCGAGGCTACCCTTTGAGACTTTCGGATATGCCATTCATGTCACGCACAATTAATGATTCGATTCAAGTCTAATAATTGGTTACAATGTTCATTCGTGCACTTCATTTACAACGGGGGCCCATACACATGATGCGCATACGCTCGACACAATAAAATGCAATATGTGTGTACTTGCCACGCGAAATAGTTGCATGGAATGCTTAAAGACTGCAGTCACGAGTTCCTCAGTGATGGGGCTGCCCCACTATCATAACTCCGAAGCGTATCGGCAGGTGACGCAAAGCGCTCCATATACGATTCCCGTGGGGACTGCTACTTTCAAACTGCACCAATTAAAACCGTAGCACCATCAATATCAGGCTAGATCAAAGAAAAAGGTAGCAGAAAGTTATTGCTCGTTTCTCCAAAGAGCTCGGTCTTTCAATTGCCCTCTACCCACACAGATACATACGACATGACGGTAAAGAGGCAGCTACACTACGCCTAGCTGCACGCTTCAAACACTTAAAGCATCCGCATCTAGGTATACATGAGGCCTAACCCACACGTTTTGCGCTTTTTCATGTGACGTTGATGCTACTCTAAAATTTTGTAAGAAAACCCCCAATAAACTAGACAATTATTCACTTGAATATTCAATCTTAGATACATTCTACGGCTTTTCTAAAAGTGTAGTATGGAGCAGTACAGAAAAAGTTAGCTTTATTATACTGAGATCCACAAATACTGTTGAAATTATGACGGGGTCTGAAGTGAACTGTCTCCCTATACGACCAGGCAGATCGCACTTCCGTGCTGTTCCTACCATTTCCAGTTTCAAGATAAAACAGCAATTCTCGACCACTAACGAGGGCTTGCACCAGATGGAAACTGCGCTGTCGTGGCGCCCGAGCTGCGGCTCTATCCGCTGCAGCCCCTTCACTGCGGCGAATCCCTCGTAGGGGCCTACGGCTTCCCTCTTAGGCCACTTTCGCTTGTAACGCAACTTGCTTTCATTGGACCCAGTCTTAGTGTCTGCCTTTTTTGGCTTTTTGCATGCGCCTGCGGTGTCGAATGATATGACATAACCTCACCCAATAGAAGCCCATGTGTTGCTGGCTTGTTCTCTGGGGATGCATTTGAGTTTGAGTCCCCCCTAGCTGTCTTGCCTCGTTCACCTTAGACTTTAGGGCAATGCCGGATGACACAGCTTCGACAGCTATATGTTCTAAGTTTTGTTGTGGCTTGTCCTTTCCAGCCAAAGACGAAGAAGATGCGCTCATTGACTCCTTAAATTCGTAGTACTACATCATTTGTGTCAGTTCCATCGGTCATTTGCTCAATGGCTTAGTCGCCGCCGATCTTGCGCCCCGCTGTCTAGACATGACACAATCCGCTGAAGACGCAGTTCTCGTCTGTGTTAAGACTTTTTTGAGCCAAGGCTTCATATTTCTCGACATGCCGGTCTGTTGCTTATCCATTCTACCTCAGCTTTCTCAGTCCTCTCTAGCTTTTTGTTGTGCTGATCTCGGAATACACCCATAAGTAAAAGCGTTTTTGAAGACTTGAACTGTGGCAATATCTGCGGGCAGACGACATCCTTTACATGAATAAAGCCTCCACTAAAGTGCACCTACCTCCCATAAGTGTGCCGCAAGGGACACACGTTTCTCTCTGTACGAGGTAAAAAACAAGGCTCATTTTCAACCGCCCAATGGCATCTTCGAGTGCTTGCCCATCCTTACGGTGGTTTTACTTTCTGGCCCTCGTTCCCTCATAGACATATCCGTGAACACGTTAAGGAGCGACCCTGTAGGGCTCTCTACAAGAAGCTGCAAAGATATTGCGTTCACATCGGCTTGAAGGCGGGCGTCTGCCTCCCCGACACAGTTTGCCATACTGTCAACTTTTGTGGCCTGGGGGCTTTTGCAGTTTATTGCCCGCGATAATCGAAATCAGTTAAGTGGATTATTACACGAATCGGCCGAAAACAGGCAACTGTTACAGGGAAGTTAGCCATCCCATTGTAACCACAGTTTAATGGATGCGCGGCAAACAGCTGCATCAAGCCATGCGGTGCCAACATGTGAAACGCTGGAGCTAAGTGTACCCGTGAGAAAACGCGTATCTCCAGACTCAGGGAAAGCTTGACAGAAAGTAAGTGAGTGTTTCGCAAAAGTTTGCAAACGAAGTACAAGTTTTCTGCCCTCCCATAGAGCTCAGCCATCAAGGGTAAGGGCCATTAAAAGTGCGTGTAGCTGCCCCGTCTAAACGCTCCGAGCCTCACTGCCAGACGCACTCAGAATTTAGAATGCAAACCCATACAACATTGCGCCTTCTGTCGGAACACCGTACTGTGGAATGTTGGAGCCCTTCTAGCAGACAAACGAATGAGCCAACATACACTGCTGAATGTTGTTGACTCCAGCTGGTGTAGAGAGCAGAGCGTGTTTCAGCGCGTCAGAGCCGGCTACTGCTTCAAGAGGACGAGGATGGCAGTGCGCGGGGGAGGGAGCTCTTCGGCAGCATGGGGAGGGAGAGACGGAGCAAGCCCATTTAGAGCGAAGAGGGGGAAGAGGCGGCGTTGAAGCGTTTTTCGCCGTAGCTACGTATTGTGGCTGGTGCTACAAAGAGGCCTCCCTTGGTATTTGCTCCTCTTCGGGAGGGAAGAAGTGTCACTGCGAGTGTGCTAGCGAAGGAAGACAGTAGTGCCCCCCTGCTTGCCGCGCGTTGAATTTTGGTAAACGCGGAGGTGTCTTCGCTTGGAAGTAATTCGACACCATGAGACTGTAAACTCGTCAAAGATTGCAGTCTTGAATCGCCGCTGCTGCTGCGAAGGTGTCGGTTGTTCTGCGACAGTGGCGCGTTGCCAGCTCCCAGACACAGCGGCAAGAATCGTGGAGGCGAACGCTAGTTTCAGCTAGACCCCGACCAGCGCTTCTTTCTTTTTTAAAGAGGCTTTGTAGTTTAAATGGCGATATGCCGCTTCTGGTCTATTAGTCGTTCCCCGCTGTGTGCTCCTCCTATCCAGCGCACCAGGCCAGGAGGGGCCCTCGGAGAAGGCGAAAGTGCCGAGCACCCCCCTGCTAGATCGCCGGCGCGGCAAAGGGGTCTTGTGGAATTTTTTGGACGGCTGCGTTTTTTGGCACTTTCTTCTTAATGGGAGGAGCAACATGCGTTTAGCTTGACCGAGCGAAGGTGTCTGGATTGGTGGATTTTTTTGTTTCGCCTCGCTGCGCTCCCGGGAGGCGGACGCGCTGTGCAAAACAAGGGAAACCTGCAGAACAAGCCGAATTCTTATGGCCCTTAGGACTCTCAGCGCGTCTGCTGCCTTCTTAGTGACAAAGCAGATCCAGCGGTGGGCTCGAGGGACGGCAAAAGCGAAAGATGGAGGAGGAGGAGGGTGAGTCGCGTTTGCACCGCGAACCGGGGGAACCCTTTAGTGGAGACGGGAACCTCGGTTTCAAGCGAGTTTCACCCTGCAAAACACCCAGCGTCGGCCACAGGAGCCTCGAAACTTTCTGTCTGCCTGCACCCCCGTGTGTTTGTGCGAACCGGCACGGCTCACCCCCCCCCCTCCCCCCGCCTGTGCCCTCCCTGCCTCCTGGCCTGCCCGCCAAAGGATCCTCTCCCTTACGCGCACGCGCGAGCGACGTATTCAAGTGCTGCCTTGCACGTTTTCTCATGACCAAACTGCCTGTCTATGTGCCTGTAGGGCGCCGTCCCCGCAACTTGGTCTTATCCGTGTGCGACTTTAAGCTCCATCAGCAGGCAGGGCCTGCGGGAGGCTCTTTCCGAGCAGGCGCTGCTCCCCCAGAGGCGTCTAGCGGACCCCCAGGAAGAGTGGGATGCAAGCTGATTGTCGGCAGGGGCACACAGCTGCTTCTCCACGGGGGCGCCGATGAAACCGGATGTTACGGCGACCTGCACGCGATAGAACTTGGTGAGGTTCCAACCCTTGGAGCTGGCAGCGTATAGCGATGCAGGCTTTCTAGTATTTGTATGCATGGATTTCGGGTGTATTTGTTCATGAATTTCAGGTGTATGCATGTGTGTGCATGAGTTTCGGGTCTATTTGTTCATGGATTTCAGGTGTATGCATGTGTGTGCATGGGTTTCGGGTGTATTTGCTCATGGATTTCAGGTGTATGCATGTGTGTGCATGGGTTTCGGGTCTATTTGCTCATGGAATTCAGGTGTATGCATGTGTGCGCATGGACTTCGGATGTGTGTACGTGTGTATGTGTGTGTATATGTGTATGTGCGCATGTGCTGTAGAGAAGGCAGCGTGCACCGAATTGCTGGTTGGTGGGTTTTCTAAGCCAACGGGCCGCTATGGCCACTCTCTGTGTGCTCACGGAGAGGTTGCAATTCTATTTGGCGGCCTGGCAGAGGCAGAAAGTGCCACGCAGCAGCTGAAAGTGCGTTTTGTGCCGCTGACTTAACGAGCGCTTCTGCAGTTGCAGCTGCTCGGGATGGTGTGTCCCTCTAGGGATGGACACACCTAGGCCCAGCATAACTCCCGAATCGCAATTGCGTAAAGCAGAAGTAGCTTAGCAGTAGATTGGTGACATCGTGTTGTTGCTGACATTGTGTTCAGGCGACGCCCCCGCCGTTTCTGACTGACCGTGCCCGTTGGAATCATCAAGCCCAGCCGACTGCAGATCTCTTTACTCTTCAAGTCAGATTTTCGGCTGCTGCGGCTCCCAGTGCTGCTGCTCCAGGGGTCGCTACGCTGCGCTACCTACGCCGTCTGCTCTTGTGCGGATCCCGCTTGTTAGCATCGTCCTCATCAGTGAATGCGTCGTGTCTTTCGGATGCTGCTGCTGCAGTTAGATGAATTAGAGTGGATGCAGCCCGAGACAGAAGGTCAAGCGCCGCAGCCTCGCGCCTTTCATGCTGCAGCAAGTGAGGAACACTGCACAGCCTAGCCCTTGCAGCGGCTGTACAGGTAGCAGGAGCGTCAAGAAAACACGGCGTTACGCCACGTGGGTGCCTGTGCTGTACCTACAGTATGCGAGGACGCACTGCTGATTTTTGGGGGCGTCCTGGATTCTGCCTTCTCCGAGGTGTGCCGCTGTTGCAAGTTGCTCCTGCTGTGGATGCTGCGACTGCAAGGGGACGACCCCATACGCCCCAGTGGTGGTGAGACACCGAGCGGTGCTGCTGCTAGCGTTGCTGCTGCTAATGCTGCTGCTGCTAATAACGATGCTGCTGCTGCGAATGCTGCAGGCACGAAACGACTTGCACTTGCTAGACTTGAATGCATGGAGGTGGGCAGAGGCTTGTGGGGAGGAGAGGCAGCGCACGGAAGAAGCGAGCACTGAGGAACTCTCGGCAAACGGGGTGTCTGAGGACCTCCGGTTCATCTTGAGAGGCGCTTCTCCAGCTCCCCGATATGGCCATGCCATGGCTCGCGTTCCCAAAAAGAATCGATGCATCATGTTTGGGTATGTGTGCATGTACACCCGAGGTCCAGCGAGGCCACACGACGTAGTGAAGGGGCCCATGTTTTCATGTGTATTTGAATTCCTGAGCGTTTCTGGGTGCGCGGGATCGGGGTGTGAAGCAAGAAAAAGTGGACTGATCTAGAAGGAGGTTTTTGCAGTGTAGCCTCTCCTTCCTTCAATGCAGGGGGGAAGAGGACGGGGGCACCTTGTGGTGTCTCGACCTGAACTTTGCATATCACGGACCCCGTAGCAGCAACTCCAGCAACAAGAACTTGCTGCCAGGCGGAAACGTGAATCTGCTGCAGAAGGTGGAGGCCTCTTGGAGCCGTATAGAAGTGAGCGCACTCGTTCTGCCCACCCACGAAATCGGCTGCGCATCTTCGTGTACGGGGGCTGAGCCGAACGTAGAGGCGGCAGGACAGAGCTGTTTTTCTCATGAAACGCATACCCCATCTGCACGCAGGAGCTGTTGACTGACAGCTCCGTTGCTGCAGCCCCAGCTGGGCTTCAGTACTCCCGACTTCGGTCGCCACTTTTTAGCTTTTCGAACATTTTAGAGTCGGACGCACACCCACTCACCCACACCCACACACAATGCCATGTTGGCTGCTGGAGCTATCCGCCGCTGCCGCTGCACCGCCCCCCGCATGCCGCGCTCTCTGCGCTGTACGTACACTGCTGAAGCTGCGTGCTGCTTGCTGTAGACCTACCGAACGGGCCCTCAGAGCCGCCGATTTCATTCCTTGGCGCTGATTGGGGCGGAACGGCTCGTGATTTTTGGGGGTGTGGCCGTCTCGAAGCCTCAAGATCCTACAGGATTCTACGTGTTGGATCTGAATGCTTGCCGATGGCGGCGCCCTATGTATGAGGGTGCGTGTGTCTTGGGTCGTTCTGCTGGCTCCCTTTTTCGGGTGTCTGGACAGACAGCCTGCAGCGCGACGTCGAGTGCAGCTTTCAGAGAGGCGTGCAGAGGCCGTCGTTGCACGGGCTTTTTGCTTTCCCGAAATTTGTCGCCTCTGTGGTTGTCGTCGTGCCTCTGCTTTAGGGGGCTTGGGGATGCATGCGAAACACCTGCTGCAGGGGCGCACCATGCCTCGGGTATTCTCGTGCATGCACGTGTTGTGTGGGCAGGATCTGCGTGCTTGAGTGGCGCTGGAGAGGCGGTGCTGCACGATAAACTCATCCTTTTCGGAGGGGCGTCCGTTACGCACAGCATCAGACACCTCTCAGGTTCCCCTGCGCCGGCAGAGGCCAAGGATGCAAGCAACCTTCCAGGTGCATATAGAGATATATGTAGATATGCAGATCTTTGTACCGCACGTATATCTATAGATCTATACGAGTGTGTGCATATCTATGTATTTTCACACGTGTCGCTGCTTCAAAGACGTCAAGATGTGCATGCACTGCGGTTATCATACACCAGCAGCACACTTGAACTTGGCAGCAGCCCTGGGATAGTTGTGGGGGCTGTGGCGTGCTCTGCGTACTCCTGCGCGGCAGTTGGAGCAGTGTGTCTCTATTTGAGGACTAAAGGGCTTTCTGCGGCTCGGGAGTTCGGTGTTTTTGCTTGCCGCTCGACGTGGCGCTTCGCGAGCCCTCAATCTCGTTGTTTGAGGTGCTTCTCTTGAGGAGTGTGGGGGTGGAATGGGAGGGCTATGTGTGCAGGGGGTTCCGATCCCCCGGGAGATGCCAGCATCAGCAGCAACACGGGTGTGCGCAGCAGCAGCAGCATCACCGGACGGCTGCTGTTTCTCTCCGTCTTGGAAATCAAAGATGGCATGTCGGCAGAAGAATACAGATTCAAGCTTGTTACGGTGGGAGACTCTGGCGTCGGCAAGTCGTGCCTTCTCTTGCGCTTTGTTCAGGTTAGCAGCTTGTCTTAGTGAAGCCGCGTAGAGGGAGGTTTCTCGTGATATGCCACAAAAGCGTTTTGTTGTGCAGGGAAAAGGGAGGGAGGGAAGGCAGGTAGCTGCGTGGGTGCGTAGGGTGATGGGGAGCAGGTAGGGAGAATGTCGTGGGGCTTAAATGTTGCATGCGCCGAGTGTCTCTCAGGACGAGTTCACTGACTCGCATGTGTGCACCATCGGTGTAGACTTCCGATCGGTCTCTACTATGGCCAGAGGCAGACTTTGCACTTTGCAGCTGTGGGATACAGCAGGGCAAGAGCGATTTAGCGGCGTTACTGGCAACTATTATAGAAGCGCCGATGGCTTTGTGCTGGTTTACGACGCCACGCGAAGAGAATCCTTCGAGCACCTCAACAAATGGGTCGCGCAGGTACGACGCTTGAAGCGGGCATCCCTACATGCATGCCATTTACGATCCATTCATACAAACGCAGGTATGCATCCATATTGGCATATATGCATGTGTGTGGCTGCATTCAGAAGAGACGTATATGCATGTGTGTGGCTGCATTCACACGAGACGTATATGCATGTATGTGTGGCTGCATTCAGAAGAGACGTATATGCATGTATGTGTGGCTGCATTCAGAAGAGACGTATATGCATGTGTGTGGCTGCATTCACAAGAGACGTATATGCATGTGTGTGGCTGCATTCACAAGAGACGTATATGCATGTGTGTGGCTGCACTCACAAGAGACGTATATGCATGTGTGTGGCTGCATTCACACGAGAGATATACGCACCTGATGCAGACAGGCATACGCAGCTTGCACAGGCTCCCTGCATCATCATGCATGCACTGTCTTGACATCGGGGGCCTTGTTCTCGGGGAACTGGTCTCTTGTCTAGCGACACAATCTGCGTCGTTTTCTTGCTTCGCGCTTGTGAATCCGCGATTTTTCACCGCGTCTTATCCCCTTCAGCTCTTCTGTTTCGTTTGCATCTTGCTCACCAATAATATCCCTGCGTTCACCGCTTCCACAGATCAAGGAACACCACGCATTGGGACCTTCCACAGTGCTGCTGCTGGTTGGCAACAAGGCCGATCTGGAGGAAGAAATTGCAGTGTCTGAGGAGGAGGGCAGGCGTTTCGCAGAGTCTCTTGGAGCTTTCTTCACACTTGCCTCTGCAAAAGTCAGCCTCCCTTCCCCCGTCCAAACACGTACCTACACGAATACATCTATATATATGTATATATCTGCATGCACACCTGCAGATATACGCACACAGCTGCTCAGAAAAACACACAGCCACAGCATGCGTTCATGATGACGGGCAAGGCTAGGAGGGACTCCCTCAACTACAGACGGCAATGTATACATGAACGGCGGATCGCTGAGATCCTGCAATGAAGGAGTCAGAAGTGAATAGGCGGATCGCTGAGATCCTGCAATGAAGCAGTCAGAAGTGAACAGGCGGATCGCTGAGATCCTGCAATGAAGCAGTCAGAAGTGAATAGAAAGCAGGCACAAAAAGGAAAGCCTTAGGCGGCCATGTAGGGTCGGCGGCTTATCTAAGCCTCTCTGTGCCTCTGAACAGGCATGCATGCATGCTGCATATCCGTAGATGCGCCGTCAGGTGCGAAATTTGAAGGATAGACACTCCAGCTAAAAAGGGGGAGGGGGAAATGCCTCCTTGTGAGGCGGGGGATCGGTATTTGCGCGAGCGTCTCCGATTTTGTGTGCGAGGTCTGCAGACATCGGCGAATGTAGATTCTGCCTTCTTGCTGATGGCATCAAAACTCGCAGAAAAGCGCCGCAACGCCGTTCATGCCGCCGCTGCTCCACCAGGCAGCACTGCAGATGCGGGAACGGCCACGGGTGAATCGGGAGGTAGAGACAGTGCTGTCTCCCTTGTAGAGTCTCCCTCCTTCGCTGCACGCACTCACAACCTCTGCAGTGGCTGCGGAGGCTTGCGAGCGCCTCTTTCTTCCCAGCCGCGTGGCCCCTTAGAACTCAGGTGAGCCACCGTTAGCGCGAAGGGCACTCACTAGAAGGAAGTGCGAGCTTCCATTGTGTACACTCTTCGAAATCGCTGGCTTGTTCTTGACGCGCTGCCTCACGGATTCCGCAGGGACGGGGGCAGCCAGCAGGCGAACCCCCGCTGACGCGCAAGAACGAAGTGCTTCTGGCTGCCGACAGCCTGGAAACACTCTCGCAGCGCTGCTGCCTGCAGAAAGACTGACAAGGCTAGGAGTGCAAATGCTCCCAAGGCGGTGCTCTGACCTTCCCCCACCCCCTACCCACCCATTCCCTCTGGACGCCGCCTCTAATGCTCGCTCCAATGCCTCCGTCGGAGGAGCGAAACTGCAGACTCAGTACGAACTTATCAGTGCGTTATTGAGGGCTGTGACCAACAACACTTGCTACCCTAGAGAACCTCTCCATCTAAAATCTCCGTAGAGTGACACGTGACGACTCCAGACTCAATGCAAACTGGGTAGAGCGATTACTCGCTCATTTTTGAAACAGCGAGCTCCTTCCTTGCCTCTCTTCTCCATCTAAGGTCTCCGTAGGGAGCCACGTAACGCTACACGCAATCTGAACGTGATGGAAGCTGTGGAGCGCTTTTCAAAAGAGCTTCCTCCTTCCCCTCTCCGCCCCTCCTTCCCAGGTCGCTTCAGAAAGTCGCTCCATCCCCTACTATTCAGGATACACGCAATACGTTCCTGCGTGTTCCTCACGACCGCTAAATTTTCCCCTGGCCGCTCCCTCCACTTGACATTCGCTACTGAGACGCTCAATGCCAGGCTCAACACACGCTTAAGAACGAGGCACTGCGTCTCGCAGGATGCAACAAGCCCCTCCCCCATCCAGTCCCGCCCCTCAAGGATCTCCGTAGGAGGGCACATTACTTTATACTCGATGCAAACTTGAGAGAAATTCACTGGGAATAGTTTCCAAGGCAGGTAGCGTCATCCGCTGCGCAACCCTCCATCCACTGCAAGGCTACCCACCCAGAGTACGGGAACGCGCATGTCCAAACTTCTGCAAATTGACTAAAAGTCATGCAGTTTTTTCCAAACGGCATAACTCCTCCCCGTGTCTGTACTCTGCAATTGAGGATGCCTCGGTAGGTTGCGCAGTAACAGGAGTTCAAGTTTTGCTGAGCTCCCTCAACACCGTGCATTACACTCTTGCCCAACGACAGTGTCTTTTGGAGTTCCCATGAGCAAATCACGTTAACACGCCTTTATCAATGACCTTCGATGCGAAATTTAACGTTTTTCGCGTTTGTGGAAGGATTTTCTGGAAAACGCTCTCTCCTATCAGGATAGAAGTGCAATGACACTGCAGGGTTTGTCGAGAGCAGGCGGTACGCCTCAGGGGGGGGAAGAGGGGGTTACCGGTCGTCTTGTGTGTGGTATGAGCCGCTTATTGGCCTCAGACAAGAAATATTACGGCCTGACAAGGGATCACAAATAGTTTCCAGGAGTGCTGCTGCAGCTGCTGTAGGTGTATATGTATGCTACAGTATTTTGCAAAGCATGTAGGGCTGCATGCATGCAGCATGCCTTCAGGTCTGCATGCGTATTGCCGGAATTTGCGTTCAAAAGCTTCGCGCGTGGCAAGGATGTGTACATTTGCATGCCTTAAGCGGAGAGTTGTGCGTGCACTCAGCAGTTTCCAAAATACTTCTGCCCCTGCCTGGGAGCAGTCCTCTCTTTTCTGCTTCCTCCGCGTGTGTGGCATGCGCGTTGCTGGCTAGAGCACCAGTGCACTGCGTCCGGAGATCGCAGAGTCGGCTCAGTTTGACGAATTTTCCCGTTCAAATCCAGTGGAGCAGGGAGCTGCTGCGTGTTTAGATTGTTTTGAGGCAGGCGCATGTGCGCTTGCGGGGAGGGTTCTCTGGCAAACGAACGCGCAAGAAGATCAAACCGCCGCGGCGGGAGCATCAGCGGCACACGGCAGATCCTGCTGCAGTGTATCGTCTTTTTGTCCGAATGACAGACGCGTCTCTGCAGGAGGGGAGGGGTGACACTTCTGATGTGCCCCCCCCATCGTTTTTGACCTCTCTGGAAGCCTTGAGTGACGACAAGACTCCTGAGCAGCAGTGCCAGCTGCTGCAGCAAGTTGTGCTTGCGCTGCAAGAGCGAAGCAGCAGCAGGAGGGGAGGGGTAGGCCCTCCTGCTGCCCCTTCGCTTTCTCAGGAGGAGTTCAAGGCGCTCTGTGCCTCCCTGCTGCTGTCTCCTGATGCATGCAGCAACAGAAAACGACGTAGCAGCAGCTGGCGCTGCTGCTTCTCGCAGTTGCGAGCCGTTGCTGCCAAAGTGCTAGCCGAAGAACAGGCGCTTTCCCCAAGCCCACAGGAAGCAACAGAATCACGGCAACTCAGCTCCCAGCCGCCTCTATTGCAGCAGTTTTGTGCAGTGCTGCAGGAGGTGCATCGCGACAATGGGAAGAACACCACAACAGCGGCAGTTGCCAGCAGCTTCCTGTCTGTGCTGCTGCTGCTGCCTCCTGCAGCCCTCGCAGCCGCAACAGCTGTAGAGTGCTGCAGCAAAAGCATAAAAATCGTAATCGCGAACGTCGAACAGCTTTCCTCAGACGCGCTTGCTAGAGCCCTCCACAGACACTCCGACCACCACCAACAGCAGCACCAACAGCAGCAGCAGCAGCAGCAGCAGCAGCAGCAGCAGCGGCATGAAGTTCAACAGATTCGAGCAGAACAGGTTCTGCAGCGTCATGTGCGTAAGGCATCATGGATACGCGTGCTGCAGCAGCTCTTGCGTGTATCTTCGAGCGCAAGGCTTTACGCGATGCAAGTTGTGGAAAACAGCATGCTGAGCACCAGTCCCTCCGCAGGCAGCAGCATTTGCTGCTGGCTGCTGTGTTGCTGGAGCTGTAACGTTCTACTGGGGCGCTTCAAGAAGACAAACGGGGGGGGCGGAAGGGAGGAGAAGGCTTGGGGAGGAGGCTTGTCTGCGGCTAGCTCGGCAGCTGCACTTGCAGCAGCAAAAAAGGAAGCTCTCGAGATTCGAGACAAACTCATCCGTAGCTTCTTGCAGGTAAAGACACAACCCTCGTCGAGGAAGTGCAGCTCGCTCGACACTCACATCTTCCCACGTCTCTCTCTCTCTCTCTGTCTGTCTCGCTGACGCCTCTTCTGTTCAAAAAGACCATCCAGTAGTGCCGCAGATCAGTGTCAGTTTCTCGCCTGCCGCTTTCTTGCATCTTTCGACATCTGTCTGTGGAATTCTTTCTCCGCTGCAGCTGCTCAACGGTCGCCGAATACACTCTGTCTCCTCGATTGTCTCTTTTTCCGCTCTGGGGAAGCTAATACAACAAGAAGACTGGGAAAATACCATTGCGCCTGTCGCTGCAAAGGGGTTTGCGCGATCTCTCGATGCAGCTGGTCCTCCCTTGCTGCTCCTGTTGAGGCATGCAACAGCAGACACGTCGAGGTACGCCTTCTCTACTGCCTTTTCTCTCTCCTGCATTCGCTCTCTGCAGCTTTTTGCTCGCGCATGCATGCAACGCAGCTCCTTACAACACAACGTTCGCAGGGCGTTACATGCATACATCTTGTCTCCATTGAGAAATCTAGAGAGATTGAAAAGCTCACATGTACATCTCAATACATATATACTGTATATGCATATGTTCGTGTCTGCATATATATATATATGTATGCATGTGTATATGTATGTGCATATGTATGTGCATATGTATGTGTATATGTATGTGCATATGTATGTGTATATGTATGTGTACATATACATAAAGAAAACATGAGTGTATTTACCCATCCCGCCTATCTATATATATATATATATATAATTGCATGCATATTTATGTACGCACACAAATACGCGTCTGTCTGCCTGTTTCTCGAACTTCCATCAGGTGCTTTTTGGGCTTGCTGGAGGAGTTGCTGCCTACTCTCAAGACAGCGTCTACACTTTCTGCTTCTGCTCGTGGACGTGTGTCGCTTGCCGTCGATATTTTGAAGTGGCTAGCTGCAAGCTGCCGCACTCCAGGAACCCTGCTGAAGGCACAGCAGCAGCTACTGAGTCTTTTGTCAACTCCAGGCATCAAAACTTTAGACACTGTTGCTCTGCTGCAGGTAGCAGTCGAATGTTGTTGCTGCTGCTACTGCTGCTTTGTTATTGTTGTTGCTGCTGCTACTGCTGCTTTGTTATTGCTGTTGCTGCTGCTACTTCTGCTTTGTTATTGTTGTTGCTGCTGCTACTGCTGCTTTGTTATTGTTGTTGCTGCTGCTACTTCTGCTTCGTTATTGTTGTTGCTGCTGCTACTGCTGCTTTGTTATTGTTGTTGCTGCTGCTACTTCTGCTTCGTTATTGTTGTTGCTGCTGCTACTGCTGCTTTGTTATTGTTGTTGCTGCTGCTACTTCTGCTT